GGGGTCTGGAAATTGACAAAGTTCCATCGCGCAGCTATTGCCGGCTCAGCATTCTCATTTACGTTTATACTACAAGGTGGGGGAACTCACCAGCGTGATGGGGCTTCATGCCCTGGATGGCATGGATGAACACTCCCCGACCGGTGAGGTCATAAGTCTTCTCCTTTGTCGTGATTGTACCCTCAACACGGCACCGAGGCCAGAAGGCATGCATCATGGAGCCCCAAGGGTTCGCGGGATCGGTCCCGAAATAAGATGTGCCGTCCTTTCCTACGACAAAACCGGGGGCGGCGCGGGTGAACGTCAGATTCACCAGGCTGTCCTCGTTGACGGCAGACTTGATGGTGTACGCATTTCCTTCCTCATTCAGCGTCAAGGCAAGATTGTCGGCTCCGAAGGAGAGCATGTTCTCGTCAAACATGAAGTTGTATAGGGGGTCGGAGTGCCAGATGTGGGGTTGATCGCCTTTGAGGTTAAAGATCTTTGAGTTGAATTGCGCAGTAGTGTGGATTCCTCTGCACGAGTGTCAGATATTGAGCCAGCCATGATACACAAGGCCCAGTTGCAGTGTCGACAGGCGCAAAATGAGGCCCGAGAATTGCAACAGCCGGAACAATTCCACTCACGCGATATTGCTGTAGATGACCTGCACCATGACCAGAGTGCCATTGTCGGCCATCACATAAAAGGTCTCAGTCTCAACATTGGTATATTGATAAGCGCGCCACCGCAGGTCGTCCTTGGTCAACTCGGAATAAGGKGTGTGCTGTGCTTGTTGGGCAACAGACTGAATGGCCTCGGGGCCATAGATGGGCTCCTGAGTGCCCGCAACACTTGCGAGGCTACATATAGCATGGTCAATCAGTATGGTCGATATTATACATCAAAAAAGAGACGAGACCGGAGAAATAGCATACGTAGACTTGAGCCAGTTCATGATGGGCAGATAGGAGATGATGATTGTGAGGTCAAGGTGAGGGAGGGATGAAGGGAGAGGGAAATCAATAGTAGCGCGCGGGGCACTAATGGCGTCGATCGGCTGAACTGCAGCAGCTGTATTGGCTTCTGAGAGGTTGCAGAGGTGATATTGATGCTACTGGTGATAATTACAAAGCACTATAGACTATGACGACAATTTTCTAGGGCAGGATCATGCTACGATCATGATTTTTCAACGACATCATCCCAATGGCGTCCCACCTTGATCAAGTTGAGCTCTTTTTATCGTCTTTGCCGCCGGTCGGAAGGCGACCCAAAGGGGAAAAAAACTCCGGCCGTGGGACTTATCCGAATCCGAACAAAACTCGGCCGCAAATAGTTGGCTGATCACTTCGTTTTCTGTATACAGACATACCATACTTCCGTCTCTTTGCGGGCACATCTCATCATGGCGAAGAAGGCACTGGCTAAAGATCAGATTGTCAAGCTCATTGTCGGAGCTGGACAGGCCAGTCCCAGTCCCCCAGTCGGTCCAGCCCTGGGTAGCAAGGGTGTCAAGAGTATGGACTTCTGCAAGGTACGCTCCTCTCTTCAACTGCCTTCTCCGGCTTTAATGCGGATCTGGATGGAAATGATGAGTTTGATGATCTTACTAAACCGCCACGCGCCCATATAGGAGTTCAATGCCAGGACTGCGCACATCAACACCGGAGTCCCCATTCCCGCACGAGTCACCGTTCGTCCTGACCGATCCTTCACCTTCGACCTTCGAACCCCAACAACGACATATCTCCTCCTGCAGGCTGCGAACGTGGAGCCCCGCAAGAACCGCATTCGCGGAGCCATGAAACCTGGCCACGAGACCGTCGGCAAAGTGTCCCTGAAGCATGTGTACGAAATCGCCAAGATTAAGCAGTCCGAGACGAGATTATCGGGATTGAGTTTGCAGGGACTGTGCAAGAGTATTATGGCGCAGGCAAAGTCGATTGGCATCCAGGTTGTGCCTTGAATAAGCACTAGAAAAGAGGACTGTTCATCTCAGTGTATACTTTTGCGATTCGTGCGACTACAGCCATGCTGTTTTGGATTACGACACCGGCGTTGTTTGGGTTGGGCTTTTACAATGTGTACATTATAGGACTTGCATGCGATATAGAGCGTCGTCAAATACCCACAGCATTTGCACGCACTGAATAAATTGAGTTGTGGAACTTGAAGACCGGTTGCGCAGAAAGAAATGGCCAAGGTCAAAATGACGGCGTCTTTCCTTGGGGACGTCACGTTGAGTGGATCATGGCCTCTGCCTTGGCTTCCGCTTTCGATATTCTGAGAAGCCTATGAGCGGTGTGAGAAGGAGATCCCTTTTGAATTATCGCGATCTGACGGGGAGTTTCATAGCATTCCCGTCATGCTTCGGCGGAGATCACCAGATGACAATAGAAGACAGGATACAATAGATCGACGGGGATGCTCAAGGACAATTGATACTCAGATGTTGCCGACCACATGGAAGTCGTAGTTATTTGCCTAGGTATCTAGACAACAGATGTAATTCATCAATAGCGCCCAAGGGTTGCACATCATCCTCCCTGAATTCGCTTGGCGAGAATGAAACTGCACAGATTTACGCAATCCTCCTAGTATTGTTGTCTTGGCAGATTTCGAATAAGTAGACATCATGGACGACGCTACCAGCAGTCTGCAGATCCCTACTTGAAGTTCATGGGAGTTGTGATTTGCTCTTGTCAACTATCAAACTTCCGAAGTCGGTGAATATGACTACAAGTCATCTCCCAAACCGTAAGTCTCGCTACCCCAGCATTCTTTTCCCCGTCATACCTCCATGTTCTGGAATTTCCGGACAGTTGCTGACGAATCGTCGTCATCTGCATTGGGCTGCATTGAGACACTTTTGTAGAGTGAATGCTCGTCCTCCGAGTAACATGAGTTGAGCCTTTGTTATTTTCAATAGCTCCAACTCATTTGAGTCAGCCTTTCTAGCTCTCCACTCTCGACAGACAACTCTCCAAGAATAACAGTCTCGAAGGTGAAAGCTAGAACAAGGATCATCCACTACGGAGGTAGTTACAATCTCTCTAGTAGGCATGTATCATTAATTGGTGATCTCCATGCTAACCGGATTCAGTAGCGTCATATCAAGAGACTTGGCATCCCAATCGGGACTAGTTTTGCTGGCCATGTCAACTTACCCCACCATATCTGTGGTTACCATGTTGGAGCTGCAAATGGATTACGGAGTACTGGGGTATCTAACAATGCAGGGTGCTGTACATAACCTCCCTTAGTCACTCCAGTATGCAAGTCGTAGTCTGGAGAAGAATCTTCAAATCACACGTTGGAAGAAATGACGAGATGATGATCTGGATGAGATACTCGAACTTATATTATAATTGACGACATGAGATCAGCCCGCAGTTGGCAGGGAGATTACCGTCCGGACCAGGTAGGTAAGTACTTTGTACGGCGGTACCTGTACCTTGCCTTTGCCTGCCTACTTCATGTTCCCTTAGCAAATAAAAGCGCTTGGGGGTTAGTCACTCAGTAGCCTACCTTTCTATTAGCCGCTGCATGCACGATTCTTATCTAGTGAATCATCGATTCAACGCCAAACACAATCCAGAAAAATCTAGCGGGGTAGAAGAACAGCCATCCCGGTCTCCGCCAGTGCGGGATTGGACAGATCTCGTCCTCAGACAGTACCTAAAGGTAGCCTGGCTTCCACTCGTGGGCCTGGTGGTTGGCTGCACGGATACACGGCATCCGTCAGATTTCTCCAGCTGATGAACGGACTGGTTCTCAAGGTTGGAGTTCTTGGATCCGGCTGCAGATGGAGCAGCTGACCTCGAATATGTAGGCCTGTGTGCCTTCACTTGATGGTTTATCGGTTCTACAGAGTAATTTTTTTATGATCTTGAAAAGGGTGCCAGATGTATACATACCTAAGATACTCTTCAGTGTAGAGGTGAGTATCTGCTGCGTCATATAACTTGAACAGACTTCCTACTTCGTACGGTAGGTCGAGCATACTTCTCCGCAATATTCAGAGTATTGTTACCTTAGTAACATTTCTCTTTGTTGAAAGATCTGTACCTAGCACGAGGAGAGGATCGGTCAACTATTCGCTCTACCAGCTATGACTATGTCTGAGGGAGAGAGGATATTCGCAGGAGTGTACTAGGTACTGTCGCCCGACTGCTTGGGCCAATCAAAGCTGAAATATGATGGCATTTCCTTCGCCAAGTCCCAGATCACTAAATTTATGAACAGTTAACCAGCATATTAGTATCTGTTAAAATAATCGTTGATGCCTTGTCTCTTCAAAAGTAAATAAGAATGATTTGGAGTACATACAAACATGGCCGTAGTAAGGTCCAGGCGCAGAGTCCAGCCCACCTTTCCTGTTCGTTCCCGTCGCCGCTATTGCCGCCGCCGTCCAAGCAAGCCCAGAGTCGACTCTTGAAAGTGGCTCCAAACTCTCTCTATCCACCGTTCTTACTCACTCTCCTCCCTCTCTTCGTTATTCTCAATTCCCCGTTCTCCATTTCAGCGTTTATTTGTCCAAGATAGACATTTCTACCAGCAACTACGGCTTGTGGATCTTCCTATCTTAATCCGTCGTCGTCTTATCTATCTCTCCTACCCAGGTCCCAGTCCTACTACGTTCCATCTCATCGTCACCTTTCTTTCCAGACTTGTTCGATTCTTTGTATTCTTTTAATTCCGAGCAGTGGCGATTAATAATTGATTCCGGCCCATTAGGCTCAAAACTGTCGCCGTTGGAGCTGTTGAGTAATAGTCGGTCTTCGCCAGAAGTTTTGCTCCGTCTTCCATACGAGATTTACCCCCCGCGCTCACTCTTTACAATTCCCACGTTATCCAGCCCTCTACGTCCTGTGCAGGTTGACCCCGCAGGTACAGTTTATAGTCGCAGCAGGAATTACAATCTGAACGACAAGGATTTGTCATTTCAAAGTTTAAACCAACAGCTTCGCTAACTGCGGAGGGGCATGCGTTCCACAGCGTGGTTTTGACGAGTCCGTATGACGTCTGGAGCGACCGAGTTTGCCGGTACAACCAAAAACATGGGTCCCGGTAGGCAATTGTCCAACTTTTCGCCTGCAACTCAGTCTCTAACGCAGTCGGCTTCAATATTAGCATCTCAGCCAACTCAGGAGCACACCCCGATGGCAGCTGGCCAGGCCACGGGTTCGTCCAACAGTGAATCTATGGCCAAAGCACAACCGGGTCAGGTTCGGTTTTCCACCATCACCGAAGAAATCGAACCGCCCGACGCTTCAAACGCTCCTCAATCACCCGAACCAGAATCCGCGGAGCCTCCAAAGGCGAACGATGACCTACAACGACTAGCAGAGAGCCTCCAAAGCTCTCAGCTGCAGGAGACTCGGTTGMGAAACTTTTCTTACGATCCCATTTCTCTTCCTTCGTCAAGGGTATGTGGCATGCGAACTGTCGATGTTGGCTTTCGCGATATTTTAGTATCTCTCTACAAAGCTTAGCAGTCGATGTAGACTAACACTGCATTACTTCACAGGTCGGATCTCGAGAATCAAGCGATCGCAGTGCCCGGGAACCTAATGGCTCCTCTTTGCCGTCTCCCCGTGCTTCCCCGATGCAATCGCCTCCTCTTACACCTGCAGCTACTAATTCGCGTGAAGCCACACATCAAAACGTTCCTCCTACCACCAATGCCACGAATAGAACCGCTGCTGCAGCCATGACTCCGCAAACGTCGCCTCCAGTAGTGGCTGAGAGAAAAGGGATCCCGCAGAGCGCGCCCTCGTCTCGGCCGTCTTCGACCGACCAACTGTCCAAACAGATCGATGTTTCGAAGACTTCATCTAATCCCTTGAACGGGCCGAAGCACCGGGCGCAATTCTTTCTCGGTCCCGGGGCTGAACCAAGCTCGCAGGAGGAGAGTCCGCCAATGACACCACGGGACTATACCCCGCCCGGCGCCATTACACCTGTGGGAGAGCCGAACGACCCGTATGCTCGCAGCAAGCGACCGCCTCAGGCTAAGAACCTTGCCCAAATCGACCAAAGGTTCATCTTTGGAGGCCGTGACTCCAAACGCCGAAGCCACACGACGTCAACTTTCGGTCGTCCCGGAACCCCCCGCTCCGCCAGTGCTGGCGATTTGAAATCTAGCGACAAGCGAGGCGGTATCTTCGGCAGCAAGAAAGATTTACGACAGAGCAACAGCGGAGAAGGCAAACACCATGGCCACATGGCGGAGCTCAAGCGATTCTTCAAGATGGGTCACCACAAGCATAAGCGAGGCGATTCTCCCTCCTCTATCCCGAAGCGGTCGAGCCGCTCTTCTGGAAAGAGCCCCTCAGAAATCGTTCCTTTCGCCGATGACCACGGGCTCAACACCAAATACGGAAAGCTCGGGAAAGTTTTGGGCTCCGGAGCCGGCGGTTCTGTTCGGTTATTGAAGCGTAACAGTGATGGAGTGACTTTCGCCGTGAAACAATTCCGAGACCGCCACTCCTGGGAGACGATGAAGGAATATTCCAAGAAGGTGACAGCCGAGTTCTGTATTGGGTCAACTCTGCACCACGGCAACATCATTGAGACACTCGATATCATTCAGGAGGGAGATCACTGGTACGAGGTTATGGAATACGCGCCCTATGACTTGTTTGCGATCGTCATGACCGGGAAAATGTCCAAGGACGAAATCGCATGCTGTTTCAAGCAAATCCTCAGTGGTGTGGCCTACCTGCACGGCATGGGACTGGCGCATCGGGATTTGAAGTTGGATAACGTGGTTGTCAATGAGCATGGCATCATGAAACTCATCGATTTCGGCAGTGCGGTTGTCTTCCGATATCCCTTTGAGAATGACATTGTCCCTGCTTCTGGTGAGTTGCTTCAATGCGGATCTCTTCTTGGACCAGCGTAGCTTACTTGGTTTGTTTTACAGGTATTGTTGGATCGGACCCCTACTTGGCACCAGAGGTGTACGACGAAAAGAAGTATGACCCACGTCCCACAGATATATGGTCATTGGCTATTATATTCTGCTGCATGACACTGCGCCGATTTCCGTGGAAGCAACCCCGCGTCAGCGATAACTCCTATAGGCTCTTTGTCTCAACACCAACGCCAGGAACCCCTGTGCCGGATGCTGACCCGAAGCGTCACCGCGCCATTAAATCAGCTCCAGACCTGTCGGCGGTTGACAACGAGGGCAAACCGGCGCAACCAGCGGAGGATAAGGACGGATCAAGTGAGCCTTCGGCACAATCGGACTCGGAAAAGAAACAAGCCCCCGCCACCTCCACGACGAGTGACGAGAACCGCCCTCCCGAGAGTCCTAAAGATAAGGTCAGCGGCAACCTCAGCAAACCAACTCGAACTACAAGCAAGGAAGCGCCGCCTCTCCCAGCTTCAGCGCAGTCATCGAGTCAGCGTCAGGAGGTCATCAAGGGTCCTTGGAGGCTCCTGCGTATCTTGCCACGCGAAAGCCGATATATCATTGGTCGCATGCTCAAAGTGAACGTGAAGGAGCGAGCCACTCTGGAAGAAGTTTTGACCGATGAGTGGGTTCGAAACATCCAGGCTTGCCGGCAGGAGGTAACGGGCGAGGTTATCAAAGCTTGCAATCATACCCATGTCCTGGAGCCCCCTTCGCCAGCGCAGCCAGTCCAGAGCAAAGCCAACAACAAGCCCAATAACAAGGCGAAATAAGCCTTCCATCTCACTTGTCCCTACAAAGTGTTTCTGGTCTTACAGGTGAAAAATGGTTGCTTCCGCATTTTGGATACGACCTGTTTCTACCACCATCCATCTTTCCACCTTTTATCCACTTCATCCGCCTTTCCTTCTACGATAGCCAAGGGCCTCCCGTCTGAAATCCTATGGCCTTCACTTCGCCATGGAGCTGGCCGGCGCCAATTCATCCTTGGTTACCCCTTGCCACCATTCTTCCTCTGAAATACGTGACTGTGCGAGCGAGTTCATCACACTTCTCAACCCCCCCTTTCACCAGACTCATCCGTTCTATGTATCATTGTATTGTTGATCTCAGCGTTGGAAAGAGGACTTAGTGATTATGTTTACCAGGCGTTGTGGTTTCTTCTTCTGGGGGGTGGACTGTTGAAGCAGCATCCCGCTGCCGCGATAGATGTTTATTCGTTAGAGTTTAATTTCCATTATTCTCTTTGATTGTCGTCGTCAAACTGAGGTGGTGAAGGGGCTGTTAGAGTGTGTCTGGTTTTTGCCAGGAATCCTGTCATTCTGTTTATATTACCAGTCTCTAATTGTGCATTCTCAGAGACAAAGTGGTTAAGTAGATATTATAAATCAACGAGAAATACCAAATGTGAAGGCTGTTCATGAGCTCTTCGATTGAATGGTTTTGGTAACCTTCAGATGGGCTGTTGACGTAGTTGGCGGAGATAGCGGACATTATGCCGACTCCCACAGTGGGCGATTATCGGAGATGGTCGAAATCTGGAGCTTCATTTCGACGCTCGCATTCTCGGTTTCTGCTTCCTGCCGCATTACAGCCTTTCACGAATTTATTTTCCTCCATTATTATTCTCAATTAGCTTTTACAATAACCTCCAATAGATTGGTTAAATAATTGCGCAGCACAGAATCAGTTTTCTTCTGTCCGACATGTTGAGGTAGAACTTGACTCAACAGCAACCTCAAGCTTCCTATCTACCATGGCCCAGCAATTAGAAACAGAGCCATTGGTCTCCCTATGGACACGATCCCTGATTGTAAGATTGGTTTATTTTCTATCCGTGTGCCCTTAATGTTATCTGTCAACTCTTCCTCCGGTGGCTGAGTGCTAACCTCTTCCCTTGCCTGCGCCTCTAGTCCGGAGCAGTAGCCGGCCTCACCGTCGATTGCTCTCTCTATCCCCTCGACACAATCAAAACTCGTCTACAGAAAGCTAGACACCATGCTCCAAGCACGCCAGCACCCGCCCTGTCGCTAAGACAAACCATCCGCGGCATCTATGCGGGTCTCCCATCCGTGCTGTTCGGCTCCGCCCCCTCCGCCGCATCCTTCTTCATCGTCTACGACGGCGTCAAACGCTCTCTCCTCCATCCCTCTGGCTCCGACGCGGCCGCCTCGCGCTCCCACATCGTCCTCACACACTCGCTCGCCTCCTCGATGGGCGAGATCGCCGCATGCGCCGTGCGGGTGCCGACGGAGGTGGTCAAGCAGCGGGCACAGGCCGGTCTCTTCGGTGGATCGAGTCTGCTCGCGCTCAAGGACATCCTGGCGCTGCGGCATCCGGACCCGACGGGGAATGCGAAGCACGGGTACGGGCAGGTCATCCGGGAGCTGTACCGCGGGGCGGGGATCACGATTGCGCGGGAGATCCCCTTCACGGTGCTGCAGTTTACCATGTGGGAGTCGATGAAGGAGGCGTATGCCAAGCGCGTGCTGGTGCCGTCGTCGGAGTCGGGCGCGCTGATTCAGGTTCCTGCGTCCACAAGCGCAATATTTGGGAGCGTTGCGGGGTCGATTGCGGCGGGGTTGACGACGCCGCTGGATGTTATTAAGACTCGGGTGATGCTGGCGCGGCGGGGCGATGGCAGCGCCCGCGTGCGCATCCGCGATGTCGTGCAGGAGATCTCTGGGGAAGGATTCGGGGCGTTCTGGCGCGGGATTGGGCCGCGAGTGGCGTGGATTGGGATTGGGGGCGCGGTGTTTCTGGGGAGTTACCAGTGGGCGTGGAATACCCTTGAGCGGAAGAGGGAATCGCAATAGAATGTATAACTATAGCTACCCAGTGTGTATTTATATGGCATTTGTATGTACAGTAGAAGTAGACGTCATCAATCTTTCTTTAACAACCAGCTCAGCGCTTGGCGCTGCTCCTCCGGGAGCAGCCTCTCCATCGTCTGGGGGGTCATGAACTCGTGATCCTTGAATTCAAACCCAGGGACAACGGTCTGGCATGTCAGTATACATCTCTGCTTCTATATCGACACGCACTTACCTCCGTAATCAACAACCCTTCGCTCTCCCCGTCCCCGTTCTCCGAGGGGTTATCAGGCAACAGATAAGAAGCTTTGTACTTGCCCCCCTCCACAATCCACTGCATCGTCTCCCCCTTGTCCAGGTTCGGACCGACCACAAACGATGTCACAGGTGCCCGGCCATCATCCGTCGCCAAGTCCGCGTGGATAATGACGTACCGCCCCCTGCCGCGATGGAGACTGTGAACCGTGCAGCTGCGGTTGAGGTGGAAGGAGCCCGTTGGGGAGTCTGGGGTGAGATAGTAGTAGATTGTGGTTGAGAGGGAGCGCGTGTCGCTTGGGTCTGTGCTGTGAGGATTGGGGATGCGGAGCGGCTGACGGTCTGTTTCAGTGTAGTAGCCTCCTTCCGGGTGAGGTTGGAGATTGAGGGTTTGGATGGTTGTCTGGATGGACTTAGATTTGGGGGTGGGGGTGGTGGGAGATGGGTGGTAGATGGGTTTGATGGATGAGATGGGGACGTCCATTGTTGTCTACAAGTGCTGATGGAAGGGTAGAGAGAGATGTCTACCTAGGTGGTGGTTGTCTTAATCCTATTTATACCTGGTGAGGTACACAGCGCCATAAGCTGATATCACGTGGATACCAAGTTGGAGACTCTGTGCACTCTAGTTCATGACAGTTGTTGGTCATGGTGTCACTGTCACTGGTCCTTGGAGATGAGTGTCCGCCTCGTGGCTGAATCTCTAGCCAGTTGATCGTTGAACAAATGGTTACACGGCCGCAGGACTCGAGACTGAGACCGAGACCGAGACTGAGACTGAGACTGTAACATCAGCCCTGGATAGACTCGAACATATGATGCATAGTCTACGAGGTATATCTATCTGTTCCTGATGTGTTATGAGAAGCCGTTGTAGAATTAGGCTATTATCTATGTCTATGGAGACTTAGCATTCCGGGTTACTGGCTGGAAAACCATACACACAGACATTTATTATTAAGAGCCACTTATCATACCTGGAGACAATTTAGAACGTTTTGTTCCTCTGTTATCCCGCCTTCTCCTCTCCTCTCCTCACTTTCTCCGGACTTAGTTTACTTTTTACTCCTCTTCTTCTCCCTCCTCCCATCTCCCTCTCTTTCGCTGTTTGAATTGTGCTACTTTATCCATTAATCTAATTTCACTCTTTGTCACTGTTAATATCGTCATCTATGCCCTTAGATGCATCACTTCTAGTGACCCCACATTCTCTGCACCCCTTGTGTGATCGTCCCCGAGCTGTCCGGCGGATCACCACTAACCACTCCGCAATCCGCATCATCTCCCCGTCTCCGCAGCATATCTCCTTGCCTTCCATCCTCTTTCTAGTGCATCGGTCTGTATCCCTGCTGCATGGCACGGAAACCAAGTCATCAGAGGGTCACTTATGGTATGTTCTTTTCCTCATCCGACCTGTCTACCCTCAGACCCTGTCGCATTGCGACCCCCACGGCTTATCTAACTGCGACTGTTTAGTGCTCCCTCTGCCTGATGCGCCGGGTGGTCACMGACTCGGAGTAAATAGCTTGACCGTTGATGAAGACCACTCTATTCTGTGAGCACGTCCCTGTCTACTGCCTATGATAATTTATTTGAAAGTGCCTTATGGAATATTTTGTACGCTGCAGTAGCTGACTGCTGTCCAAGGTATTCCGCTGGCCGCGATGGAGTGATCTGCTCATGGGATCTCAATCTCCCTCTCTCCGCATCCAAAACCTCTTCAGCTCCGGGCGCTCAAAAGTCAGGGCCGACTACCTTCAGACATCAAGTGCAGGCCCACAGCCATTGGATCAATGACATCGTCTTAACACAGAATAATTCGGCCCTCGTTTCGGCTTCATCCGATACCACCGTGAGACTCTGGCGACCACACTCGGAATCCACCGAGCTACCATCACCCATCGGCAAACATGCAGATTATGTCAAGGCCCTTGCGACGCCGGGAGGTCACTCAAGTTGGGTGGCCTCAGGAGGACTCGATCATAAGCTTTACCTGTGGGATCTGAATGGTGGCGGCGAGGTTCTCAACATCGATGCTTGCGGAGGGGAGAGCACGGCCAAGGGTTCTGTTTATGCGCTGGGGGCAGTCTCGTCGGTCCTCGCCAGCGGCGGGCCGGAGAGCGTGGTCAGAGTCTGGGATCCGAAATCTGGAAAGCCAATCACCAAATTCGTGGGGCATACAGACAACATTCGAGACATCTTGATCACTCGCGACGGAGATAGGATCATGACTGCCTCTTCAGATCAAACGATTAAGATCTGGTCTCTCACAGCAGGAAGATGCATGCACACCCTGACGATGCACAACGACAGCGTCTGGTCGCTCTACTCCAGCCATCCACAGCTGTCGGTCTTCTATTCGAGCGACCGTTCTGGCTTGGTTGCCAAGACAGATACAAGGCACTGCTCGGATGTGGAGCAGGGCATTTGCGTCGCAGCGTTGCAAGAAAACGATGGCGTTGTCAATGTGGTCGCTGCCGGTGACTACATCTGGACTGCCACCCCCAAGTCCAGTATCAACCGCTGGTATGATATTGACACCACTGCTGAGATTGAGTCTCCCTCGTCAAGGGGCCCCGCAGGCTCTGAAGCAGCCAAGCCCGAAGAGTCGTTGGCACAGAAAGGTCGGCGGACAAAGATACCATATGAGTCAATTCTACTGTTGTCAAGCACATCGACATTCCCCAAGTCACGAGTACTAGGAGGTACATCCGAGGGCTTGCCGACAAACGGACAGCAGCGCTMACCCGATCCGGACTTGGACGACGATCTGGATCTCAATGTACCAGTGTACTCGCTACCCGAAGAGACGATAGAGGGCCAACATGGTCTGATCAAGCATTTCATGTTGAATGACAGAAAGCGCACGCTTACGCAAGATTCCGCCGGTGAGGTCGTTCTTTGGGATCTTTTGAAGGTAATCTCTCGCCATCTACCCATCAAGGCTTCTTCTGACCCTTGCAGTGCAAACCCATACAATCGTTCGGCAAGCGCCATATGGACGATGTTGCGTCGGAGATCAATACTACAGAGAGCATCGCTCACTGGTGCACGATTGACATTAGGACAGGTCGATTATCTGTCATCCTGGAACTCAATCGCTGCTTTGACGCGGAGGTATACGCGGACGAGGCCGACCTCGTTGATTACTCGCAGATCCGGGAAGATCAAAGAAGTGGGTGACTCCTCTTTCCTGACCCTCGAGTGCTCGATTGCCCTTTTCTCTTGTCTGATCTGACTGACCTTAAACAGTAAATCTTGGGAAATGGGTTCTCCGTTGGCTTTTTGCTCCCCTGGTGGATGAAGAGATCAAGAGAGATGAGCAGTACCGTGCGTCAGCCATTGCAAAGGCTGAAGAGTTGGCCAGGCAGACCATGTCAAGTGTCACGGCACCGATGGACATTCCATCACCGAATGCAAAAAATCTAGGAATACAGATCCCTTACGATCCGTCTTCTCTGCCCATGCGCCCTGGAAATGAATCGTTTGGAAGCCCTACGACGCCCGGTTTCGGAATCCATCTTGCCACTACTCCAGGTTCGCTGACGTCTTCCATGCTCAATACTCACAACAATCACTTTGGCACGTCGCCGGGTGATTTTGGTGACCATCTTGCATCGCCTCATGCCGACGTAGTGAGGAATTCCATGTCCGACAAATCCGACTACTTCTCCTCCCAGAGACAGCAAGGCTCAAATGCGGTGGATGCGACGACACCGGGGGATCCTACTCCAACCGCACTGCCTCAATCGCCCGCCGAGCCTGATAAAGAAGAGAGGAAGAGAACTGGATCCATCTTTGGGAAGAAATTCCGGATGGAATTCCCCAAGAAATTGGGCAGGACCTCCACCGAGGTCAAGCCTCAGGTGCAGGAGGAGAAGGTGGAGGAACCGGAAGAACCCTCGGCAGTCAAAGAAGAGAAGGTTTTTGATAGCAATCTCTGCGGTTTCATCGAGAGAATCCGTCACGAATATGATGAATTCCTCGCAGCGAATCCAGGGCAGGAGCTCGTGTCAGCCATCACGCCAAGTCCTGATAGCGAGACCCCAATGCTAGATATCCCATCTCGTACTGCCGTTTTCATTCAGGAGGAATCGGGAGATACCGCTGTGGCCTCGGACCTTTACAGAGGCAGTGTCGGTAGTATCGGCCAGGAGATTGACAGGCTTGAGAAGTCGATACCAATGTGGCTGGCTGAACTACTCTTGAAGGCGAGTTTTTTCATCCTACTCGGATTTGAAATATGGCTAATTCTTGGTAGAACCAAGTGCCTGTCAAGGAACCCGTCAAGATCGCCTTTATGCTGAAACCTTATGACGACCTGCTGCCGCCCGTATCCAAGCCGGATCCGTATGTACAACCTCGGTGGTTCTATTGTACTCTGCTAACAGTATAACTCTGTAGGTCGGTCCCTAATGGTAACGGTGTCAACAATTCTCGTTTGAATGCGAACCGCATGCTGCGTGCGAAGAAGATTCTCGCTTACGTGGCGGAAAGAATTGACCCTTCATACTCCGAAGAACCGCAGGAAGGCGCACTGAAGCCGGAAGAGTATCTGGAGCTCTACTGCCAGAAGATGGTKTGTACATGTCGACACCAGACCACCTCGTACCGCTTTGCTAACTTGAACCAGCTCATCCCACCCAACATGACTCTGTCAACCATCCGTGCTCACATCTGGAGATCGTCCGGCGATATGGTTCTATACTATAGAGCCAATGGAAGGAAAGAGATACCAATGCCGGGTTCAGGCAGAGAGGGCGACCAGGGCAGTCAATCGGCCGATGCAACGAATACGCCACATCTGTCGGAGGCAGCGGCCATGGCTAACGGGGATGGAGAAAGTGCTCAGCCCAGCAGTGCCCAGTCTCAGACAGCGTCGGGATCTGCTTCTGTGTCTATCCAAAACTCGTGAACTCTACGACTGGTCGTGCCGTTTAGGCTAGAAATTTATGAGACATGAAGGCCGAGAGCCGTGCTCCGACTTTCTTCTCTTTAACCCTTCTCTGTCATATTATTCTCTGTGTCCATATTGCACACCCGGAGTTTGGGATCTGTCCTTGCTACCGTTCGTCGCCTCTTCTGGGCCAGCTGTTGTGGGAATGCCTGCTCCAGACGTGTAGAACACCATGTACTCGATTCCGTGAGATTAGCGATTACAAAAATCCAGTGAATTGATCTGAGTCGTGATAAGTTTCGAGCGTAGAGGTCTTAAATGCTCACAAAGCGACAAAATATATTTCGTCCGCCGACGCCAAGAACCACCACTACTTTCTTTCTCCGTCATCCATCTTTTCCATCAACATCAACAACTCACATCTTCCTTGAGTTTAGCCAGAATGATAAATGGCTGCATCATGTCTCTCCAGACAACTTTCTCACAAACCAATCACAGCCTCCCAGTTTCTGGAGCATTTCCAGCGAGCATGGAGCGAGTCGCGTCTCTCCTGGGGCGGACGACAGGCCAATCGCCGTATCCCTCGTAACCTGGGTATGTCAGTTTGCATCCTCGCTGAACACACGGCCGCCGAGTTGTGTTCTAATTGTCTGACAGGTTTGGCCGTCAGCGGCGGCGCAGACTCTATGGCTCTGGCCTTCCTTTGTAGACAACTACAAGAACAGAACCTTGTGGATGGGTTGACCGTCACAGCTTTCGTCGTCGACCACAAAGCCCGAGAGGAGAGCAGCCGGGAAGCCCGAACTGTAGCTACATGGCTGAGTGATATCGGTAAGCCAGACGACGATCCTGCCAGCAAGCGGTAGGCTAACAGTCACACCAGGCCTACAAGCACAAATTCTCGAGCTCGACTGGCCTCAGGGCACCAACGTCTCCGCGTTCGAGACCCATGCCCGACGTCTGCGCTTCCAGGCGCTCGGCATAGCCTGCCGAGATAGACGCATCAGCGCCCTCCTGATGGGCCATCACCAGGACGACAACGTCGAGACGACCCTCTGGAGGCTGTGTTCCGGCGCCCGAGGTGCCGGCCTGGCCGGTATCCCGCCCATCGCCCGGATCCCAGAGTGTCATGGTCTCTACGGCGTCTCGGAGAGTGGCTCGTCGGCGGTCCTCCGGCCTCGTGACGACAGAGCAGGCGCACCCTCTGCTCTTGTCGGGAACCCGACCACACTGCAAGTGCAGGACAAGGACGAGGACAAGCAACCGGGCTTCCACATGGCCACCGGCGGCATCCTCCTCTGCCGGCCGCTTCTGGCCTTCCCCAAGGCCTCCCTCCTCGCAACCTGCCACCAACACCGCATCCCCTACGTCTCAGACCCGACAAACTTCGATCCAACCCTCACCCCGCGCAACGCCATCCGCAGCCTCCTGTCCCCGTCTTCCCCCCCGCTCCTCCCGCGCGCCCTACAGGCCCCTTCCATTCTCTCCCTCATCAAATCAAGCCACGCCCTAATCGAAGACGCCATCGCCCACTCCAACAACCTGCTATCGCAATGCCGCCTCCTAGACTTCAACCCAAGCACAGGGACAATGCTCATCCGATTCCCCAGCTCGCAGACGCAGCCGCAGTCGCAACCGCCCACCCGCACCCCTCATTTCCAAACCCAGGTCCAATCTCTCACACTCCGCCGCATCACAGAACTCATCTCCCCACACCCGCACAACCACTTCCCCCTGCCTAGCTTCGAGAAGTTCACCGCAGAAGTATTCCCCTCCTCGTCCTCGTCATCAACCCCAACGAACCGCCTCCCCTTCACACTAGGGGGCATCATGTTCCACCCTTTCCAACCCACGTCCACCTCTACCCCCAACCGGAAAAACCATACAGAAAACGGAAATACATGGCTCCTCACTCGCCAACCATACATGCGCAACCGCGCCCCCTCACTAGCCCTCAAACTCCCCGACCGGGAGTCAGAGGACATGTACTCGCCCTGGAAGCTGTGGGATAATCGGTACTGGGTGCGGGCCGCCGTGGTCCCGGATACGGGAGAGCGAGACCCCGACATGAGTGCGCATTACACGCAGTCCGAGCTCGATGGGGTCCGTCGGTGCTATGACGCGGAAGGGTTGTCTCTGGTTGTGCGGCCGCTGCGGCAGTCCGATTTGCAGGTCATTCGGGGCATGATTGATGGACAGGGTCGTGGGAAGAAGCATCATCCTCCGGCTTTGGCAGCGCTCCTGAAGCGCCTGGCGCTCGAAGCTCCGGGGCAAGCCCGCTTCACCGTTCCTGTGCTGGTTGTTCAAAAGAACTCTGGTGATAATGCACGCCAAGTGCCGCTGGCGCTTCCCACATTATCTTGCAGGTTACTTTCCGCTTCTCAAGCGCAAAGTCTACTCCAGACTTCAATGCCTTGGACCGTACGTTGGCAATGGATGTACAAGATGATCGATCAGGATCCTCTCAAATTGATGGGTTGGTTATAAGATTTTGCGCTATCTGGACTATACACATACATAGACTCTCGTTTAAGGTAGCGTTACCTACTCAGGAGGATGGGTGAGAGGAAACCACAGAAGGCTACATTAAGCATATTAGATGGGATATTCTCCGTGCAGCTGGGTTAACGATGGTTGCTGACGCTGGGTGCACCAGCACTAGTGCAAGGAGGGCATAAACATGGTGGCCCACCAGAAAGAAAAGCCTGTCAGCCTGACGAGACACGTGTGATTCAAGAAGACGGAATCATAGACAGGACGGAGGTGGCGTTCCTCCATAAAAACTTATGATATTCTCAGGACCAGGCACAGCGCCTGGGTTCATTCAAAAGGTTGCCCTTGACGCCATGCGTAGAGAAATGGTGATCCAAAAGAGAAAATACGAAACGAGAATGATCGCTTTCCGGTAAGATGCATGAGATCATGTCCATCGCAAAGAAATGATTTTGATGATTTTGTGCCGAGTAGAAGAAGGAAAGATAGCTCGACGCCAAAGCCTTGGGAAGTGGCCAGCCACGAGGCACCTTGGGCCGGCATTGAAAATGTCTCGGAAATGTCTCGGTCGTTCATTCGCTCGCCTTTAACAAGGCCACGGCTGCTTGCTGTGCACGTAGTCCGCCAACTTCCCTTTTCAACCTAAAGTTCTCCTTCTTGAGCCTTCCAATCTCCTCCAATGCCTCGGACAATTGTGTCCGGAGGGCCTCTTCCACGCTTCCAGATCGAACATCTCGCACAATCTTTCCCAGCTCCAGATTGAAACGATCATACAGCGCCTCATTCTCCGCGCTAGCCTCACGGTACAGCTCATCTAACTTCTTTGCTCGCTTCTCACTGACAACCAGAGACGATTCCAGATCTCTCTCGATTGCAGCAGTGCGGCTATTCAGCTCTTGCGAAAGCACTTCGAACTTCGACTCCAGATTGCCAATATGGTTGAGAAGAGCTGAGTCAGCAGCTGCTGACAGAGATGGTGCGTCTAACGATCCAGAATTCTGTCCGGCATTCTTCAGTTGTTGCGGTGCTGCGATGTTCAAAGCTTGCAGTTCCTCTCCAATCAATGCCAATTCCTCCTTGAGCCCCAATTGTGCAGAATGTTGTAGCCTCTTCTCGCTTTGGAGACGATCTCGAAGCTGTAGATATGTTAGACAAAGGTCCTCCAGACGACGACAACGAAGAAAGATCAGAAAGACAGAATGATAGTCGGCCGAACAGCAGAGGGAAGCCCGGGGGGAACCATACCTTTTGTGGGCTCTGCATGCGCAGCTTTGGGGTTCTTTGTGAAGAGGCCAAAGTTTGCAAGCGTCTGGGGTCAGATCCGTTAACCAGCACTGGGCGCTCCTTGAGCCCAACATTCCGTGATGATGGTATGCTGAGTGCCCGCAATCTTCTCTTTTGCTCTTGAGTGGGAGAAACAGCAAGGTCACTTTTCTTTCTTGGAGGTCGGTCCGTTCGACTCAATGTCGGGTCAATGTTCTCTTTGCGGCTTGGGGTAACTGGACGTGTCGGTGATCGTCGGCTTGGCGAGGCCTGTCGAGAGGGGGAGGTGCTTTTGGCGGGCGACGTGCTTCTGTTCGTAGAATCTGTGCCGTGGCTTGTCTGTGGTCTGGGCTGTGTAGTTGGGGTCGCCAATTCGGTTTCGGAACGATTGGTTGATGATACAGGAGTGGCAGGCCGCGGATCCTGGCTAGGCGATACAGCAGACGTGTCAGTGGATGCCGTCCCAGGCCTCAGATCGGATAAAGAGCTCCGTCTCCTTCTCCGAACCTTGACTACTCCGTTCGTTGAGATACCTCGGATTGAGGATAGAGATGGGGGCTGCCCTTGAGAGCTACCTGGTCGTCGGAGGAGTTCCTGCGATGAGGCTGCACTGGGGCGGTCGCGCGAGCCAGGTCGTAAGAGCAGACCCAGCCCAGCGTCCACGTCGATCGACTTGGAACGCAGCAACGAGCCTCGAGGGGTACTGGGTTCCGAGTCGCCAGAATTTTTGCTCTTGCTGAGAGTCCTCAGAATCGACGAGACCTTGCTTTCTCCCTCATTCTTGGAACCCTCTCGATGCAGACTGAAGCCGAAACGTTTCCGGAACGACGACGCATTCGAGCTAATAGACCCTGCGTCTCGCGCACTTGGTTTTGTTTGATCGCTGCTTAAGATCCCATCCAGCGATGCGCCGCTGGGGATAAACTCGTCGAAGAGATTGTCAAAATCGTCCACAAGTCGGTCTAGAAGAGATATGTGCTGCATGGGGTCCCCTTCGACTGTCAGAATTTCGGCGAAGGCCGCAGTCAGGGCACCTCGATCGCCGTCGTTCCCAGACGCATCAAGCAACTCGGCCAGCAACCGCACCAGAGATGCCAGCGCACGCCGGTTCTGAGGACTGATCTCCGTGAGAAACTTGCGAAAGTTTTCTTCAAAGTCGCGAGGAAACGTCGTATCAAATTGACTCTGAATGAGCTTCAAAGCGCCGGGTTCTATCACGGGGCCCATGTGTTCCTTCCATGCATTGGCCATAAATGTTTCGAACGCGACAAATAATGTGTCAACAGGCACTTCAGCTGCAGCTTGAATCTTCGCGGGGTCTTCCAAAAGTACATTATACAACTCATTGACTGATGACCTGTCGACATTTTCCCTTGCACGCAGACTTCGTCCAACAATATTTCCGCTGCGAGACTGAAGTGCAAGGGCGTATGCCGTAAATGTTTGTTCCAACAAACTGAATGGACTATCTGGTCCCTTGGAAGGAGCTGTCCCAACCACGGAGATTTTGATGGGGGTCTCTTCCTTTCCAGGGAAGATCGAGGGTAGCGTATTGGATCGGGTGAGATTGGCTCTTGGAGGTGGCATTTTTGGGAATTCACCAAGCAGAGTTGCAGAACTGGGGCCTTTCGAGCCTGTGGTGCTACTGTCCTTGGCGTCTTTCGACTGGCCCCCACCTAGGAGACTCGAGAGGAGTTTGGTAGGCGAAGGAGGGCGAAATCCGCGAGGCGCCTTGAATTGAGTGATGAGGTGGCCGGCCAGGTAGCGAAGTATATCAAAATTCGAGTGAATTATTGATTCCGTCATCGTCCGGTTCCGAGGACCATGCAGAGGCAGAAGGACATTCAAGACTGTACTCCGTCAACGCTACAGGCCATCAATTTGATAAGAGGACGAGAACTTACGGCGTTTGGAAAGCACAGGAACGAAGCTATCCACTGTAACAATATCCGAGGAGGCAACTCCGACAATGGAGTCTATATCGACGCGATATTGGTCCTCACTTGCAGAGGAAACCGAGATGGCCACCTCCAAATCTGAAGTGTTCAATGCCTTGCTGGAAATCGCCCTCGGAGTGTCAAAGACAATTCGAATCTTGGACAGGCCACTCCGACCCAAGACATTGTCCTTTTCTTCTTCGAGAACACAGGCCAGAATGCCGATGTTCCCGACGGTCCCCGTGGGGCTCCTCAGGGTCCATTTACCGTTCTCCCGCTCGCTCTCAGAAAACCGGCCTTCAATCTTCGCCTTCACCACTTCTTCGATAAGCCGACTCGCCCGCCCCTCATACATCCCAGTTAATTCCAAAGCGAACAGATCCACAGTGGTATTCTGATTTGGTCTTGCTTTGGCCGATGTAGGAGCGAGGAAAAGTATTCTCCCGCATGTAGACTGCATTGAGCGTACGGTTTGCAGGTCGTATACTTGCGCAACCTTGATCTCACATGAGTTTTGCAGGGCAGAGGGGCCACCGGGTCCTGATGCGGCGCCGTCGAGGTCTGCAAGTAAGCCGCGTGCAGTTGTTCTGCTTCCTAGAGCTTTCGCTAAGAGAACAAGGCAGTTCTTATAGATCAACATGATCCCCTGATTTTGGTTTGGAGATGAAGGATCAATGTGGTATGGAGGCGATAGCTCGTTGAAGTCGACAGCTGTGATCAAGCGGCCGACCGGCAGTATTGTTGCCGGCCAACCATCCACCAGCTCTTTCAATCGTCGGAAGCTCTGGTCATGATTTGTGGACGAGGGGTCGTCGAGCGAGCATATATCCTTGATGATATCTCGAGCCTTCAGGAGCGGCCTGACAGCGGGATGGATCAGGGGAAGACTGCTGGTCATGGTGTCAATCAGAAGGCTGTAACGAGGCAGCCGCTGAACAGGCTCCATCAGTAACGAACGCAATCGTTGCTCTCCGGTCTCTACAACTCTCTTGGAGAAGCTCGAGTTCTTATCCCTCATAAATGAGTTGAGCGTCTGTGTAAAGCCTGTATGAGCTCGCATATAGTCCGCGTAGGGCTGTGAGAACTGCGGAAACCATTCGAGGAGCGCATTTGCAAATGCGACAGCACCAATCGGATCCTTTCCTTCCCTAGACGCCGTTCTATGCGACGCGGACGACGGAAGCTCGGTGTCGTCTCCAATATCGGCAATCGCATCCCTTTCTGTTTCCTCCAGGACGTTGCGGATCACTTCCAAAAACCCCAGATTGACGTCAAGTATCTCATTGAGACAGGGAGGGAAAAGTGCGGCCAGAGAGGCTTCATCTGGACTGGTGCTGGACGCTCCTCTGCCTTGAGCCTTTAATCGGAATTCTTCGGCTACCTCGCGCACAAGATTGTATAACTTGCTCACATACCGCTCCTCCGTGTCCACAAGCTCGCACATAGTCAGACGGAGAGACTCCTTCTGGCTTCTCGTGAAGAGCCTAGATTTGCTGAGATTGGTCGGTTGGGAGGGCGCTCGTTTCAGTCTTGACGTCGGTAGGAACATCGGCGCTCCGAGAGCTCGGATAAGAGCCGAATACTGGCCATATTGTAGATCGTGGTTGTCCTCTATCTCCAAAGCTTCGTCGATACCGTCATCCTCCGGCCGTTGAGGGGGCTGTATTGTTCCCGCGGGGAACACTATATCAATATCCACCCACGGAACTTTGCGCTCCTGAAAGGCACCGCGAATGTCGCGTATAAGGTCGGACGATTGTTCCACTTTGGCCATCCGATTCGCAAGATCCGCGGCATGCATCTCGTCAAATAACTTGGGAATCTTCCCACCAGGCTTCCCCGCACGAGCCATTGTTTCCAAGCACTCCTTGGCCGGTTCGGACAACTCGGCAAAGTATTTCAACATGCTGACAGCAAGCCCGCGACAAACCTCGTCGCCTTGTCTCTCGCGGGGTAGGTGGTTGACGGCCGCATATAACGGAGCAGCGGGGGAGACGGTGATCCGAGAATAGCTCTGAAAACCAGCGGGGGTCAAGATATGCGCCTGAATGCGCGAACTGCTCACGGTGGCATTTGCGGTTGTAACGGGACCGTAGAAGACGAAGATCAAAGACAGATAGGGATCGGAGGCCTGGTAGAGGGTGAGCTGCTCCAGAGGCAGGTCCGACAGGGCGCTCGACACGGTCGCCATAGCGGGCAATTTCGAGGAAGGCGCAATCGGCGCGCAACGAGTGAAACAAATAAGGAAAGAGCTGGAACGACCAAAGAAGGAAAGGTCTATCGAAAAAAAGAAAGTATTAAGAATGATTAAGTAAAAAGAAAGAATGAAAGACAATATGTCAAGAAAGAGTGACAATAACAACGACAGTTACACGGGGTACTGTGATGCGACCAAATTAAAGGCGGGAGGATATTACTATGCTCAAACGACAAGGAAAGAAACGAAAGTAAAAGGAATAAGTAAATGAACGAATGATCGTCCTCAAATGATCCAACGAGGAGACGAAGAAGGAATCCCCTCCATGGGAAGAAAGGTCAAGAGAAGGTGGAGGAGTGGAGGGAGAGAGGTGAGGAGAGGAGAGGAGAGGAGAAGAGGGAGGGTGGGGGAGAAGTGAATCGCTAACTGGCAATGGATTCCCCCGACGGCGCAAACTTTCTTTAGAAGAAGAATTAAGAAGGATCAGATGATAATAATAATAGTAATAATGATAATGGTAATAATAATAATAATGGTGATGCTGATGGGTGGAGTAATCTAACAAAACAAGAAGAAAACTGGTCAAGACAGGCGATGAGTTGTTGACTCGGATTTGGTTGGACGATTGATTGTAGGCACTGCAGATGGATGTATGTGGCTTGTCCGAGAGCGATGATCAACTGAGATGCGATAGTGGACTCAGTCTGACCTGCTGAAGTCCATTAGGGTGATATCAGTCTGCAAGTAGATTGTTAAGAGAAGAAGACGAAGATGATGATTTGCAGGTTGTCAAGACGGTAGTGAGGGGAAAAGAGGGGAATTAATGTGTAAGGAGATCCATGAGATCAGATCTATGGGACGTACTTGATTGAGTAACAAACTAACATATGTTATCTGGCACAATCAGCTATTCTAAGCGCGCGGGCGGCTGGCCAGTTACGCTGGTAGCTATCTATACCTACATCTGATATTAGCACCATCTTCTCGCCTACTTTCTGAATACATGCTTCTGCAGCTGATGGCACGTGAGGTTGTCCACAAGCACCTGCCAGTCAGTATGTAAACCACTCTCCTAGACTGTCAGCTCTGATCCTCCTATGACTAACTGTATAGGTATCAGTGTCTGCAAGGGAATCTGAAACTGATCCAAAAAAAACAATAATACTATCAATCGATAAGTAGTAACCTAAAAGTAGACTGAAAGTGGAGAACTGACGCCCCATCGGGGAGAATATTTCCAAGGTACGGACTACGGAGGTACTTACATACCAGGTTATCCTCTCTGAGGCTCAACCATCCTTAAAGGTAGTACTACAGATTGGTCTAAAAGATCACTCCAGACCATGGAGTATGTATGTAACAGAGGAGACCTTTTGTTTCATATCTCGTCAATCTTCTAGATAGTTCGGCTCTATGTAAGGATTATTTGATCAGGGAATGCACATGCAGAGTACCCACTTACCATGAGACAGAACCCCTTAAAAGGTTGTCTTGACAGTTGAGCCAGCATCAGCAACATCAGATCCGTCACTTTGACCTCCTTGCATTTATTGAGGTGATTGATCAAGCTACTCAGAAGGACTAGGGAGACTTACCTGGGTACTGATCATGGAAACTGCCCTGGTATTGCTGGTAACTAACGGTACAATACATCCTTGACCGTACCTAGGTATCTTACGGGTTATCGTTACATACTGTAACAGTCACACGTACTGCAACTTCCTCTAAACCCTAAACCCGATTTGGTAAGCTATCCAAACGCTGGAGAAGACCAGCTGTTGCGTTCCTCTTCGACTCCAACGCTACTTGTGCTGCTCTAATCCCCCACCTCTGTCTTATTTCAGAGTGACAGGCTATGGTATGAGATTGCTCTGTGATTGAGCAACCTCCCTAGAGCTCCTTCCTCCCCCTTTCCGTCATGTCAACGTCCTCCCTGTCCATCGCTGTTGATCCAGTGGCTCTGGTGACAACAGAATGCATCACCGTCACCTCGTCCATGCGCAAACATGCCCGCTGGGCTCATTCGTCAGTTGCCGCCATCCTCGGTGGAAATGCTTCCTCTCGAGTCTATGAAAAAGATACATCTGCTCCTCCGAGCCCCCGCAATGGCGCGGCCTCTCCCCGTCCTCGTTCGAGACTGTCTGTCATGGATGACGATCATGCTTTGGCCAATCGATGGGGCCTGAGAGGCAAGAAAGGCAAGAGCATGCAAGATAACCCTCTGATCTCCGCTTTCACACGGTTACGGAGCGACCTAAAGGACTGCAAAGACATTCGGACCTTCGATACACCAGCACTCCTGCACCCCTTCCTGCAAGTCATCCGGTCATCCTCAACCTCGGCCTCGATCACCTCCCTCGCCCTGATCGCTATCACCAAGTTCTTCGCTTATAACATCATTAACCGCGACTCCCCCAGGCTTTCCATGGCCATGCAGCTTTTGTCGGCCGCCATAACCCACTGTCGTTTCGAGGCCAGTGACTCCGCTGCGGATGAGATTGTTCTGTTGAGGATCCTGAAACTGATGGAGGGAATGCTATCCCGACCGGAGGGAGAGCTGCTTGGCGATGAAAGTGTCTGTGAAATGATGGAAACCGGTCTGAGCATGTGCTGTCAAGTACGTCTCTCGGAAGTGCTGCGGCGTTCCGCCGAAATGGCCATGGTCAATATGTGCCAAGTGATCTTTTCACGGTTGTCGCAGCTGGACGTCATGGAGTCGGTCGATTCGGGCTCTCTGACCGCAGCCGGGAAGAGTGTCGAACAGACGGGCCTTAAGATGGATCCCTCTGTTGATGGGAACACCGTAACCTCCCAACATCCGTCCGCCATGGGCTCCGACACCGCGGGACCAGAACCAGAGCGCACGGGCGGGGATGAGCCATCCGATCAAACTGCCAGTGGGAATGCTGTTGCCGCTCCTCCGAACCCAGAAGACGATCTCGGGGACGAGGTCGAGCCTTATTCCTTGCCTTCTATCCGGGAATTATTCCGTGTCCTCATCGACCTGCTCGATCCACATAACCGACAACATACCGATCCCATGAGGGTAATGGCATTGCGGATCATAGATGTGGCTCTGGAAGTCGCTGGCCCTTCCATTGCCAAACATCCTAGCTTGGCCGCATTGGCGAAAGACGATCTTTGCCGGCACCTGTTCCAGTTGGTTCGCTCGGAGAATCTGGCCATTCTCAGTGGGTCGCTCAGGGTTGCTGGCACTCTCCTTTCAACCTGCCGGTCCGTCCTCAAGCTACAGCAGGAGTTGTACTTGTCCTATCTGGTTGCTTGTCTTCATCCTCGCGTAGAGATCCCGAGAGAACCTGGCATCGATCCGGCCCTATATGATGGGGTGCCGCAAGCACCCAAGCTGGTGAAGCCTCCTCCTTCACAGTCCAGCAGCGGCAGGTCCACGCCCGTCCCCGTCAAGGATAGACAGAAACTAGGTCTGGAAGGTGGCTCGAGGAGACCAGAGACCCGGGAAGCCATGGTTGAGAGCATCGGCGTGCTGGCACGTATTCCCAGTTTCATGGTGGAGCTTTTCGTCAACTATGATTGCGAAGTAGATCGGGCAGACCTCTGTGAGGACATGGTTGGTCTACTTTCTCGCAATGCCTTCCCCGATTCAGCGACGTGGAGCACAACTAATGTGCCCCCATTGTGTCTGGATGCACTATTGGGGTACGTTCAATTCATATACGATCGTCTCGAAGACGAGCCGCGATACGAGGGCTTTCCCTCCAAGGAGATGCTCAAAAGCCAACGCAAAAGGAAGAGGATCATCATACAGGGCGCCCAAAAGTTCAATGAAAATCCCAAGGCTGGAATTTCATATCTTGCAGCTCATGGTATCATTGAAAACCCGGATGATCCTGTTCTGGTTGCCCGATTCCTGAAGGGAACGACTCGGATATCGAAAAAGGTTCTTGGAGAGTTCATTTCTAAGAAATCCAATGAAGCAATCCTTGACGCATTCGTCGATCTGTTTGACTTCTCCGGCAAGACTGTCGTGGATGCGCTGAGAGACCTCCTCGGTGCTTTCCGTCTCCCTGGAGAATCTGCTCTCATTGAACGGATTGTGACCACATTTTCTGACAAATTCGTCCAGAAAGCCCATCCAAAGGGCGTTGCAGACAAGGATGCACTCTTCGTGCTGACATACGGCATTATTATGCTTAACACAGATGCTTACAATCCTAATATCAGGCCCCAAAATCGCATGACTTGCACTGATTTTGCAAGGAATCTGCGCGGAGTCAATGCGGGAGAAGACTTTGCTCCCGAATTCCTTCAGGAGATCTACGACTCAATCAAACAAAACGAGATCATTCTACCCGACGAGCATGAGAATAAGCACGCTTTTGATTATGCATGGCGCGAGCTTCTTCTCAAATCTTCGTCTGCCGGAGAACTGGTAGTCGGGGAGACCAACATTTACGATTCGGAGATGTTTGAAGCAACTTGGAAACCAGTCGTGGCAACGCTTTCGTACGTCTTCATGTCCGCCTCAGACGATGCAGTCTACTCTCGAGTCGTGATGGGTTTCGATCAATGCGCACAGATTGCTGCCCGTTACGGTATCTCCGAGGCATTCGACCGCATCATCTTCAGTCTCGCGTCCATTAGCACTCTTGCCACCGACAGGCCGCCAAGCACGGCCCTTAACACGGAGGTCCAAGCTGGGAAGAAGACCGTGATGGTCAGCGAGCTTGCCGTCAAGTTCGGGCGAGACTTCAGAGCCCAGCTAGCCACGGTTGTTCTCTTCCGGGTCCTGGCCGGAAACGAGTCTGCTGTTCGGCAAAGCTGGAAATATGTTTTCCAAATCATCAGCAACCTCTTCATCAACTCGCTCATTCCTTCATTTGAAAGTGTTATGATTGCTGAACTCGGGATCCCTTCGATCCCACTGCAACCGCCATCGCAGGTTGTAGACCGTGATGCGCGTGGAAGTGAGACAGGACTCTTGTCAGCTTTCACGTCTTATCTCTCCAGCTATGCAG